GAGATACAAATTAAAACCACAATGAGGTATCACTTCACAGCTGTCAGAATGGCTACCATCAACAAATCAATGAACTACAAGTGCTGGTGAGGGTGTGGAGAAAGGGGAACCATAGTACACTGCTGGTGGGAATGCAGACTGGTGCAGCCACTATGGAAAGCAGTATGGAGTTTCCTCAAAAGATCAAAAATTGATCTGCCATTTGACCCATTGATCCCACTTTTAGGAATATATGCTAAGGAACCCAAAACCCCATTCAGAAAGAACTTATGCACCCCTATGTTCATAGCAGTGCAATTTACAATAGCTACGGTCTGGAAACAGCCTAAGTGCCCATCAATAGATGAGTAGATAAAAAAGGTGTGGAACATTTACACCATGGAATACTATGCAGCTGTAAAAAAGAAGTAGCTTTTATCTTTTGAGACAGCATGGAGGGAACTAGAAAGTATTATGCTAAGTGAAATAAGTCAGTCAGAGAAAGATAAGAACCACATGACCTCACTTATATGTGGAATATAACAAACAAAATAAACTGATGAACAAAGTGGATCCAGAGACATAGAAGCATGGAACAGACTGAGGGATCTCGGAAGGAAGGCGGGTAGTGGGGAGTGGGTAGGGAGAGATTAATCAAAGAACTTATATGTTTATAAGCATAACCAGTGGACACAGACATTGGTATGGGGAAAGCCTGGGGGTAGTTTGGAGGGTTCAATGGGATAAAAAGGGGACATCTGTAATATTCTCAGTCATAAAGATAAAGAAACTTTAAAAAAAGAGAGAATATTGGAACCACACACACACAAAAAAAAACAGAAAGAACCACACTGCAGTGTTACCTCAAACAAACAAACAAAAAAAGAAAACAAACAAACAAAAAAACACATCAGGCTGTTTAAAAACTTCTCTGAGGTAAAGTATAGTTATGAATTACAGTATTAAAAACATGACTATAATTGATCCTAGCAACCATATATTTAAATTTTAGAAGAAATCGGTTTATGAATGGATTTGTTTTTCTGAATATAAATGAAAAAAAAAATTCTGGCAGATACTAAAAAAGGTGACTACAAATAGGTAAAAACATGTAATTCTTTGCATTCATGTTGGACTCTGAAGATCAGCACTGATGTTTGAATTTTCACAAAATAAAAATAATTCAGTGTGGTCATAGCTTTCATTTTGCCATTTGATTTCATAGGCATAAAAATGTACTTTAATAAGAACTTGTCAAATTATTTATTTAGATATGGGTCATATTTTGTTGCTGGAATTTAGAAACAAAACTGTTTCAACTACTTGTACTTTACCACAACTGCCTTTCTGATTGCCATTAAATGTACAATATAGAGTTACACACTTAGGCACATAAAGCTCTGTGGTCACATTAACTTTATAGGGCACACTTTCACCAGTGTACATGTCCCCCCATCCCTCCCTCAGGGAATGGGAGAAGAAAGCAGGAACAGTAAGGAGGAAATGAGAGAAGGTGAGAAAGGGAAACAGAGAAGTGGGAAAAAAATCAAAGTCTAAAATATCAAAGATCACTTTGGGCTCAAGGTCAGCAGTAAGAAGAAAGGTAGGCTCAGAACAGATGTCAAACTAGACTGCAATTTGGTCTCTAAAATAGCACACACACACACACACACACTTTTGAAAGTATGTGATGTAATGGAGTTACCTGAATGATGGAATTAGCTTACACCATGGCCGTCAGTGTCTGCGAATCTTTCTGTGTTTAAATGTAGTGAGGTGCCTCCCTTAGGATTACATATTCTAGACAAACTTGAAAGTCGACCACTGCTTGGCCACCCACTAAAAGCATTTTTCACACAGCCATTTCATCAGAATCAACTTCAGCATCAATAACCACAACCTCATGGTAATCGTTGCTGTCATTGGTGACCACAGTGGAGTCAAGAGGGTCAGTGGCAGCAGGGGGCTCCAGTGGACTGGCAGGGTTGGAGGAAAGTTCAGGGAGGTCAGTAACATCACACTCCAGGTGTCCAGTAGCAGTGGTCTCAGAGTGACAAGACGCAGTGAGCTCATAGTGTCCAGCAGTAGAGGGCTCAGGGTAACCAGTGATGGCAGGCTTGGGGTAACTGGTGGCAGCAGGCTCAGGATAGCTGGCAGTAGAGGGCTCGGGGTAGCTGGTAGCAGGCTTGACATGGCCAATGGTGGGTTTAGGGTGGCTGGTGACAGGGGCTGCCAGTAGGGATGTGGTAGTCAGTGACAGGCTTGTGGTGGTTGGAGGCAGGCTTGAAATGGACAGAGGGAGGCTTGAAATGGTCAGAGTCACCCTTGAAATGAACAGAGGCAGGCTTAGTGTAGACAGTGGCAGGCTTGGTGTGACCAGAAGCAGACTTGGAGTGACCAGAGGCAAGCTTGGAGTGGCTAATGATAGACTTGTGGTGGTCAGAAACAGATTTGTGGTAGGTAGAAGCAGGCCTGGAATGGCCAGAGGCCAGCTTAGGGTGGCCAGAGGCAAGCTCGGGTTGGTCAGCTACAGCATTACTAGGTAGTGGAATATGCCGGATGTTCATTGGTATTTCCTCCAGAGCAGGACAGGCATAGGCATGGTCTTGTTCATGGGCTTGTTCTGGAATTTGGTCACAGGCATGGGCATGGGCATGAGTACAGGTACGGGTACAGGCTAGGGCCCCGGCCTTCCACATCTCACGCATATCAGTGATGATGCCAGAGAGGAAGAGAATAGGGTGCCTAATAGCATGGAAGATGGTCCAGTATTCTCTTTGGAAATTCTCATTGAGGAGCCCATAAAGAACAGCGTTGAGGGAGCTAATGAAATAGGCTATGAAATGGGCTGTAAGATAAAGCCATTTAAGGATCTTGCTTACCATCTCTTTTGGACTCACAGACACCAAGTCAGCGAGCACGTTGATAGGGCACCAGCATACTGCAAAAAGGAGGAAGACCACGAACATGGTTAGAAAATTGCAAACCTCAGTAAGTTGGTTGTCAGGATTTTGCCCAGCAGGGTCACGGGCTACCAGCACTTTCATCCAGATCCTCACATAGCAAAAATCCACTATGAGCACAGGGATGACAAAGTGGATACAGACCATGGTCACAGCAAAGATGGGGTTGTTCAGATAGTTGAAGATGCAGGTATAGGTGCAAGGATCATACTTGATGGTGCCAATGTACATGTTGGGCAGGACATCCAGGATGGTCATGATCCAGGTGGCAACCAGGTAAATGCATGTATTGCGCAAGCTGAATATCCGCTCGTACTGGAGGCTGTGACAGATGTAGCAGTAATGATTGATGGCAATTGCCACGATATTGAAGATAGAGCCGACCACGCTCAGCCCTGTGATAAATCTGACCACCTGGCACCGGAACTTGCTCAGATACCAGCCCCCGATGGCCATGGCATGCAGCATCAGAGGGTAGGGGTAGATGGCCACCAGCATATCAGCCACGGAGAGGCTAACCACAAAGATGTTGCCTGAAAATCACATCCGGGGAAAGAGAGGGGGAAAGACAGAGAAGAATAAATGGGTAAGTATAAAAAACTACAAATTTAAGCTGGAGGAAAAGGCCAACTGGAGTCTTGATAATTTAGAATTCTAGAATTCTTTCAAAGAAATACACCTTTTTAAAAATATTTATTTACAAACATATCCCAAGTGATTCTGATGCACAGCCAGTTTTGGGAGACCCGTCCTTTGTCCACATTATTTCTTCAATAAGCAGTAAGTCCAAAAGCCCCTTTAGGAGCCCTTCACACTCACACAGGGACAGGATGCCACCATTTTCAACAAAAACAAAATGCAAACTTTTTTCCCACGGTGGTGAGAGAGGGGAGATGACCCTAGAGGTGAGCTAGATCAAGCTGTTGTAGGAAGCAGGATGGAGAGTGGGGCAGGGGAGAGGTTGGAAGAATGTCAAGAAGCTTCCATAACCTGCACCCCCAAAATTAGGCCTTTGCCTTCTCAAGCCTAGCATTGCATTCATAACGCAAACAAGTCTACAGAGAACTGTAGTGTTCTTAAGCAGTCTTTCCCAGCAAAATTAGACAAGAACCTAAGACTTAGCCTAGTAAAATTTACCATTTCCAAGGAAACCTAAGAATAAAAACTGAGGGGAAGACAGGGAACCCTGTAAAATTTAGTGTGAGACCAAAGAAATAGTGAGCAGGGATTTTTTTTTTTTTTTAATCTTGAAAATCCTGGAAGGATTAGCAGAAATGCAGGTTCAGTCCAGGCTCTGAACCGCATGGGCACATTTGCCGCCCTGCACCAGGATCCAGCCCCTGGCACTGAGTATTCTGGAGCTGCTAAACAGGAAAGTGAAAGGAAAGTGTGTGTGTGTGTGGGGGGGGGGTTCTACTCCCACTCTAGTTTTGTAAGGCAGCGGTAGGAACAGTTTTCCTAAAACTTTTCAAAACAAAAAGAAAAGTAGATGCAAGCACAGAGCCCTCTTTCTTTGGAAACACCTGGTTGCTAATTAGCACTGGTTTGGCAAAATATTGCACTTCATCTGGGACTGGGAGAAAATGAGTACTTTTGAAAACAGTAAAGGAATGGCTCCTCTGCCTACGCTCCCAGGGTAGTAGCCTCAGTGCTTTCTACCCAAGAGGATTTTTCTAGGGTTTCCCTCAAAGTAATGGATTTCGCGAAGAAAAGCGAGAGGGCAAAGCCTTAAAAACAAAGCCACAACAACCATAAAAACCTGTACTTGAATTATAGAAGGAAAGGAAGAAGGAGAGAAGTAAGGTAAGAAGAAAATTAAAGAAAAGAAAATGGGCTTCTCAGATTGCCCCGGGGCTGCGTGGTTTTGTCCCTTGGGACCGAACTACTGAAGTGAAGGTGAGGTCGAAGTGTGCGGCCCATTTCCCCAGGGGATCAAAGAGAAACCAACACATCCACCAAAGTCTAGAAGAAAACTTAATGACTGCGTGCCGTCCAGGGCATTTTGAAATGTGTGGTGTTTGTGATTCCTCATCTCAGCAAAATAATCCTCCAGAGACTGGCCACCTCCTCCCCCGCACCCGGACCGCCAGGGTCCAGTAGGTACCCGAACCCGTAAGACCCCGCCCCCTCTCCCTGTACTCCCGGGGGCCCCAGAAAGAACTTGGCCTGAGACCCTGAGCGCTGCCCCCTCCTTACCCCTCTTTTCCGCAGCCAAAACGCAGAGTTTGGGCCCCTTTGCCCTTCCCCCTTCCCTACTGAGCTCTCTCCCACACAACCTGCAAAACGGGCTCACCACTTCGCAGTGTCTGCTGCCCCTAGCCCCGGCCCAGGTCCCAGCACCCTAGGAAGCCCCGCCCGCAGCCGGCTCCCTTCCCTGAGCTCTGGCTGTTAGCGAGGGGAGTCTTGCTTGCCACTCCACCGCATCCCAGATCCCCCTCACTTTGCAGACTCTCTGAGCCTTCCCACCGCCCCTCTGAGCAGTCCTGCAGTCCTGCTGCAATTCTGTCTTCTATCCAACCGCACCCCCACCCCCGCTTCTGAACCTCACCTCCGCCGGGCACATCGACCCCGGTACCCAGCTTACGGTCTTCCGGATCTCCGCCGCTACAGCCTGCTGTGCCCAGCCTGCTTCTCGCCTCTGTCCACAGTGCGCCCTGGGACTGGCGGATGGAGCTCGGTTCCCGCGGGCTCAGACTAACCCGCTCCATACTCAGGCGCTGGGGTCTGTGCTCCGCCTCCAGCGCATCCCAGAAGCCAAGGCGAGCAGGGGATAGGCCCCCCAAAGGCGCGGCTGCTGCGCTGCCTCAGGAAAGCGCCACCGCAGCAGCCTAAACTTAACTTTCCCAGAGCGGGTCTCAGCCCCACTGCTCCTCTTGCGTCCATTCTGCCCTCGCTGCCTCTGCGCGGCCACCTCTGTGGTGTCTGGCTCCGCGTGCTGTCCCCGGGTGGCTGATGGACTTTCCGTTAGGGTGCAAGCTTCCCCTGCATCAGGTTCCCAACTGGCAAGAGTAGGCGGCCTGCCACACACTTCGGGAACCCGAACTTTGCATTTGGCCGCCCAAAGCTAAATCTCTGAGCTCCCCCAGCCTAGAGAAGCTCTACGTTTATGGGGCTCAGGCATAACATCACCACCCAGGTTCTCAGGGAATTGGGGAGCAGGGACATACAGTGTGAAGGCCTGTCCATGGATTCCCTATTACGGGTGCCCAAACTAACACCCTAAGGGTTTCGGCTGGCTGCTCGCTGGGTAAGGAGAAGGAACGATAGCTTACCAGAATTTCGGAGCTTCTTGTTCTTCCCCACAGCCAAAATGACCATGGAGTTGCTGGTGAGGTCTATGATGATGGTGATAACCATTGGGCAGAACATAAAGGTGATTAGAGCTGGTGGGTAGCCTGGCTGTGGCAGCTTACGGCCAATGAAGCCATATCGGGTGGGGACTGCCAGAGTAGGCACCATGTTGCTGCTGGAGACAGTTAGGATCTCCCAGCCAGTCCAGACAGCAAAACCTACTCTGTGATCAGGAGCTTCCGGAAAGTGGCTTCCCCTTTGAGNCCTTCCCACCGCCCCTCTGAGCAGTCCTGCAGTCCTGCTGCAATTCTGTCTTCTATCCAACCGCACCCCCACCCCCGCTTCTGAACCTCACCTCCGCCGGGCACATCGACCCCGGTACCCAGCTTACGGTCTTCCGGATCTCCGCCGCTACAGCCTGCTGTGCCCAGCCTGCTTCTCGCCTCTGTCCACAGTGCGCCCTGGGACTGGCGGATGGAGCTCGGTTCCCGCGGGCTCAGACTAACCCGCTCCATACTCAGGCGCTGGGGTCTGTGCTCCGCCTCCAGCGCATCCCAGAAGCCAAGGCGAGCAGGGGATAGGCCCCCCAAAGGCGCGGCTGCTGCGCTGCCTCAGGAAAGCGCCACCGCAGCAGCCTAAACTTAACTTTCCCAGAGCGGGTCTCAGCCCCACTGCTCCTCTTGCGTCCATTCTGCCCTCGCTGCCTCTGCGCGGCCACCTCTGTGGTGTCTGGCTCCGCGTGCTGTCCCCGGGTGGCTGATGGACTTTCCGTTAGGGTGCAAGCTTCCCCTGCATCAGGTTCCCAACTGGCAAGAGTAGGCGGCCTGCCACACACTTCGGGAACCCGAACTTTGCATTTGGCCGCCCAAAGCTAAATCTCTGAGCTCCCCCAGCCTAGAGAAGCTCTACGTTTATGGGGCTCAGGCATAACATCACCACCCAGGTTCTCAGGGAATTGGGGAGCAGGGACATACAGTGTGAAGGCCTGTCCATGGATTCCCTATTACGGGTGCCCAAACTAACACCCTAAGGGTTTCGGCTGGCTGCTCGCTGGGTAAGGAGAAGGAACGATAGCTTACCAGAATTTCGGAGCTTCTTGTTCTTCCCCACAGCCAAAATGACCATGGAGTTGCTGGTGAGGTCTATGATGATGGTGATAACCATTGGGCAGAACATAAAGGTGATTAGAGCTGGTGGGTAGCCTGGCTGTGGCAGCTTACGGCCAATGAAGCCATATCGGGTGGGGACTGCCAGAGTAGGCACCATGTTGCTGCTGGAGACAGTTAGGATCTCCCAGCCAGTCCAGACAGCAAAACCTACTCTGTGATCAGGAGCTTCCGGAAAGTGGCTTCCCCTTTGAGAATCAGAGAGCAAATGACAGCATTCCGTCCCCTCTCGGATGAGCTTTTAAAGCCTCAAGAGGCAAATAGCCCCACCCCAAATCCCTCCCTCTGCCAATCAGACCTGCTTGACCACCCCTGCTTTAGTCACCAACTCTTTCTGGACAAATCCACATTGAGGTGTCGCCTTGCTTTGGATTGCTTTATTTGTGCTTCCTCTCTACCCCACCTCCCAACCTTCCCCTAGATACATCTGGTCTTGAGAAGCTCAGAGTCCACCTCCCTCCCCCACACACCCCAGCCATTGCGCATCCATTTCTAGCAAATTCTCCTTCCACTTCCAACACAAACACTGCGCAAAACGATGTAAATGGCAGAGCAGAATCCTTCTTGGGATCCAGTGTCAACCCAAGCCAGTCTGAAGCCCCCAGCAGAATGTGACAAGCGGCCAGTGGCCCTTTGAACCCTAGATATATGCCCCTACAGTCTCCTTAAGGGGCTCATCTTACTCCCGGCATTCTTGCCTGTTCAGAGCCTTCTGCACTCCCAGGGGGAGCAGGGAACAGCTGCTGGATGCTTACGTGCCAAATCTAAGACCCCGTATCCAGGGAACTCAACCCCTCTCCTGTGTCTGCCAGGACCAGGTTGGTTTCCTTAGCAGCAATGGCTGGTGGCCACTCAGTCCGGTCCCGGACTTGCACTCTCTATGAGGAGATGACCCCTGCGCCCGGCTCTAGCAGCAGGGATAGAACCTGTACTCTTGAAGCAGAGGAGGTGACCACTCCAACACAACTTTGGAGCGAGAGAGTTCTTCCCCTTCCCAGGTGACGGTCACCCTGGCTGTGGGAGCTCAGGTGTTGCTTTGGGGAAAAGGAAAACGCAAAGAAAGCCCTTCTTTTGGGCCGCTGCTCCTCAAAAGAAACCCAAGATGAGTAACTCTGGCTCCTATGCTCCCCAGGTGGCGCAAGGCGCTTGGGAAAGCTGGTGGAGTTGTGCCGCAGTGGTGGAACAGGCGCTGAGGTGGTTGCAGGCTTGGCCAAGAAGCCACAAGGAGACCAGCGCCTCCTGCCCCAGGCACAACTTACTTCGGTCATTCTTCCTTGTCATCTCATTTTGTCTTTCTCTAAGTCAGGCAGTCCCCTAGCCCTGCGGATCTCCCACCCCAGGCATCACGTTTCCCTGCGTGTGCCCAGGCAATCAGAGCTCTGGCCAGGAAATCCGAATGTTTCGGGCGAGATTCTCATACTCGCTCACTCAACAATCTTGGTCACCGGAGTGTATTTCTGCCTGCTACTAAAAGTTATGGCTCTTGTTGAGAAACTTCCCAGAAAATTTCAGCAAACATCTTGAAAATTTTCCTAGATTGGCCTACTTGGCCTCAGTAGGGGAGAGGGAATTGTTTGTCCCAGAGCGCCACCGTCTGGACATAGCCGCTTTCCTGCCCCACCCGGAGAGGGGCAGAAACCCGGTAGCGGCTGGGGGAGGATTCGGTGCGGGACTTCAACATTCAGGGACCTTTAACGGAAAAAACAGGTCGGACAAAAAACTAGATTGCATGCACTTTCTCTAGCTTAAAAGTCCAAGTAGGAATGTGTCCCTTGTTTGAAGATGAATCCCACCTCCCACCCAACCCTCACAGACACAACAATCCTGCACTCCTACAGAGAAGGGAATCGGCTGGAAAAATGATCTTTTGCTTGCAGCCTTTTCACATTATCTCACTGCTCCAGGTTGTCTGGAACTCGGGCTGCACGCTCTCAAGGCTGGACTTAGCCAGGATTTATCCTTAAACGCAGCCCAAGAATCGGCTCTGCTGTCCTCCCTAGGTAACTGTGAGCCTCTGAAAAGGGGCAGCAGCCAAAAGCCCAGCCACACCTTGGAGTAGTTCGTCCACATCAGGCTGTTGGCGCCGTTCCCCGAGGGTTTAGATACTTTAACTTGTGGCAAGGATAGATTTTTTAATTCAAATAAACAAAAATTTGAAGAAAAAAAGGAAGCAAGCATTCTAGTAGGTTAAGACACTGGAGTCTCGTCTGCCCCATCCTCCAAATCCTATTAAGAGAGCTGGCAAACTGTTATGTCAGGCATTGTTATATTTCAGTGCACTGTAATTCTGAGATGCGGCGGCCCCCTAGCCTGTGGAGGCCCAGGGCGCTGGGAATTCTCCTTGGATGTGGCCTGAACTTTCCTGGGACTGAGGAGTGAGCGGAGTGAGCTGATCCCCTGGCCCCTGTTTTGACACTGCTTGACCAGGACACAGTGATACTTGGATTTTTCAATACTAGACTGGAAGAGTCAACTATTTTAATATTCTAGGATGAGGGAGAACTCTAAATCTGGTTAAATTAATTTTCTTATTTTTATGAAATATCTTAATATCCTGAACTTTGTCCCAGTCCTAAGAAAAACATATGGAGTCAGTTATGTGGATACATAGGAGAGGAAAAACCAATCTGCATTTCCAAGGGTAAGAAAAGACTCCTGT